GTGAAATGCCAACTTTCCATCAAATAAATGTAAAATGCCCCAACTTTCCATCAAATAAATGTGAAATACCCCAACTTTCCATCAAGAAAATAAATGTGACTTGACCCACTATTGACCCCATGACTACAAGCGAATAGGCATCTTTTGTGCATTGCATATGACTCTAGGAAAAAATTAACCCTTACTTTCCATCAAAGAAAGAGAAAATAGGATCTACTAGATACGTATCTCTCATGCGGGTGCTCTACATAAAATTCTGTCACTTGAAATTGGCTCCCAGTATATAGTTAATATTCTGTAGACATGATAACTTGCGACTGGTCCTAATCTATTACAAATTGAAAATCAAATTCCGAGTATTGGGCCTTTTGTGGATGGATATTTGGTGACATGGTAACGGTATAAGCATGAAACAGTTACTTGTAGCTCGGTTTAGCATAGAGGCAGAGTTTAGAGCTATTATACATAGTATACCTGAGTTATTGTGGCTGAAACCTATATAGAAGGAACTTGGTTTTGATTTTAAGGGACCGATGAAATTATAGTTAAAATAAAACATCTATCAACGTTTTCCACAATCCAATGCAACATGATAGAACAAAGCAACATTGAGGCTAATAGAAACTTTATTAAAGAAAAGTCGAGGTTGAATAACGCCATAATATGTTCTCCTTTTATGAGGAATTGTGATCAGCTGACAAAGGAGCATAGTACATGGTCCCATTTGGTTCTTTGCAAGCTAGCATACATGATATCTACGTACTGACCTGAGCAGGAGTGTACAAAAGTGTGATGTTTTATTTTCTCTATTATGCTCAAGGGTATTTTTATACTTTGGGATATTTAGGCCGCTTTTAATACAAACCTATGAGTAGGACTGTTAGTCGAACAAGTTCGAGACGAGCTTAAAAAGCTTGTTTCTTAATCGAGCCTAAAAAAATTTTCAAGTTCGGTTCGTTTAGAAAATGAGCCGAGCTTGAACAAGCCAAAAACAAGTCGAGGCCGAATCGAGCCTAATATTTGCACATAAATGAGTCGAGCCTGTCGAGTTTGAGTCGAACCCGTCAGGCTTGTTTACTAAATGAGCCTAAAAACTTGTTCAAATTCGGGCTCTTTTAGAAAACAAGCCGAGCCCGAGCCGAACCCATGCCAAACTCGAATAGCTTAGTTCAATTAACACCCATACCTATGGGTGAGATAACCCTAGTTTCACATCCTCCTTTCACTTTTATTTGTATAAATTCAACTCTTTTTCGGAAAATTGCTGCCATTTCCTTTCGAAATAGATGATTGTACTACATGCTTAGAAAACAAGTACAAATACTATGCAAAAGGAAATATGGCATGCTTTATTCTATTATTTTAATCATCCGTGCTCCTTTAGTTGTTTTATGTGAAGCAGGATCCCTACTCTGCCATTATAGTTTGAACTTCCCCCCTTATTTCAGGTATTTGACTCTCCTTGAGAAGTACCCTGTGTGGACAAAAGCTGTGACATCTGCATTTTTGACTTTTCTCGGAGATTTGATTTGTCAGGTAATATACAAGTTTGCAAAATTTCTGTTGAAATTTATATCTATGACACGCTAGCTACAGGTATCCTACATCAAAGAATGCCGGAAAACTTTACAAACTGGGATAATGCCTCCATAGTTGATTCGGTGGTGGGTTGAGTTTATTAATAGCTTATGATTCTGTTTTCTCTCTAACGTGGAGAAGAAAAAGCTAATAGAAGGGTCAGAATATGCCTTTTTGTGAAGGGGATTAGTTGCAGGATTTTGTGGAAGAGGACTCTGGAATTCTAGACATTGATTAATTTATGGTATTTTGGGGTTAATGTGGAGGCAAAGGCAAGAGACAGGATTAGTATAGGTACTGAGCTTGTTTTGGCGGGGTTTTGGTAACTAAAAACAGAAGGGATTAAGGGCCTTGTGAGGGCTGTTAATGTACTTTTGTTTTTTGAGTTTTTTTTTTTTGTTGTGGCATCTGAAAGTGAATTAGAGGCTCATAAAGACGGTGTTTATGGCTGAAAAGAGTGATTGAAGCAGAACAAAGAGTAAACCATAAGAATGAGAAGCAGTAGATACTGGATTTCACCTAATGTTGCTATGACTGGAAGTATGTTGATACTAAGACTTCTCTAGATCAGTAAAGACTGTATGCAGACACAATCGCATGGTTTGAACTGAATTAGGACCCATGGACCACAAGTACACCAGCCCAGATCCATAATTCAAAAATCTCCTAAAAATATCAATGTTGCATGTCATTGACTTGGTGAAATGCTGTATACTTGTCATAATGATTTGATATCTTTTTAGCTTTATATTTCTCATGATCATTTTGAAACTTTTTAGCTTAGCTTACTGATCTTTACTAATCATTTGCCTCAGATAGTGATAGACCAAGTGCCATCTATAGACCTGAAGAGGACATTTTTATTCACTCTGTTGGGGCTGGTCTTGGTGGGTCCCACGTTGCACTTCTGGTAAGAGATTCAGAGTGTATATCTTATCATGCCCCAGCAATGTTTGAATCTGTCTATAGCAATGTTGTCTATAGTATAGCTTGTATACATGTTTTAGTTTTTTTTATCTGATGTAATTTTATGCTTCATAATTCTAGTCGCACCTCGAACCCGATCCTCTTGGGTCTGACGCGGGAACGAAATGACCATCAATTCGCTCCAGTATGGAGCACTAGGACATCAGTGTTTAATGCATTAAAATCTTCCAATATTAAAAATAATTACAACCTTCCAAGTCACCAATTATCAACGATTACAGAAATGATCAATAATTGACTTTATTTAATTCCTTAATTAATCCAAATTTTTTTCCCGGGTTATCGCATTCTCCCGTCCTTAAATATTTATTTTTTTTGTTGCTATACCTAAATTGTTTTAACATGTTCAAAATCGCTTCAGTTCCCCACTTCGATCAAAAACTTAACTTTGATTTATCCTTTGATATCAATGCCATTCAAACCCTCAGCCATTCTCCTAAGCACAAGCGTAGGATAGTTCAAGAAAGCATATCCTTGAGATTTATTACCATTTTGTCATGCCCTAAACCCGAACCTTGGGTTTGTTGCCCGAACTAGATTCACATCAAGATTCCCAAATATAGAGCATGAATACATCAAATATTAAGTAAAATGTCGGATGAATAACACATGATTTAATAAAATCACCCAATATGTCCTAATTACAAACGGTCCAAAACACCAAATATTATGAGTTTATAGTAAATAATCTAAGTTCATTAATTATTCAATATTCTCCAAATCCTCGATTGGCTATTTACTTCGAAATCCGAATCCAACTTGTACGTGAGAGGGTAAATGGGGAGTGAGCTTGATGGCTCAAGAAGTAGAAGATTTTACGATATGTAGAATAAGAGGCAAAAATAGGTAACCAAATAATCAAGTTCACTCGATGTATCGCACTATCACACACAACCTGGAGGGTCAGAGAATTGAACAAACCATGCCACCAAGAAATTACGATATATAGAATAAGAGGAAAAAATAGGTAACCAAACAATCAAGTTCACTCGGTGTATCGCACTATCACACACAACCTGCAGAGTCATAGGGTCACAATCTCATCTCATTGAACAAACCATGCCACCAAGTGCCCTTCACATGTGTTAATATTTGCAACTTAGCACATTCAATAGGACATCAAATAAGCATATTCTTTGCAAAAAAGTTGGATGCATATCGAGTTTTGTTCTACTTATTCTGAAATCGAAGCCAATGGAATGAAAATCTAGACATTTGGATGTGATTTTACCGGTTGATCTTCCGGACAAACTACTCTTTCCATTTTTCTTCTCACCTACGCAATGTGTCTTTTTGCTTTGTTTTTAACTTTATGTCACATGATCTGTCTACCTTTTCTAATCACAACCACCGCACAAAATTACAAATCTAACAGAAAATATATAAGCCAAAAAATATATAAAATTCCTATTCTTTCGAGAACACCACTCTTGAATGACACAAATATGGAATACAAAATGAAGGTACGGAAGATGCCTTTCATATCATTGCTTGTATAGGGGGTTAGTAGAGGAGAAGTCATCGTGTCCAGGGCTTTCTCTCTCTGAGTACAGTCTTATCCTATTAATGAGTGTGCAATTGTGATTAAGGGTGATAATTTTTTCACACAGTGCACCAAAAAGATAAAAATCCGACAATAAAATTAAAGTGCTAGGGTTGATTAATTCTCACGAACCTCAGACCTAAAATGACCAGATTAATTAACACGAAAAACAAATGGGTCGGGTTAAGATCAAATACAATAACCCTATTTTAACATGATAAGTCCATTAACTATGACTTTATCCATAAAATGTCTGTTTTAGTTTTTTAATTTTTTCATTTCTTGAGTAGGTATTTTATAAGTACTTATAAAACAATTGATTTTTTTTTTTACCTAGTTTTGTTAGCTTACAAATTGATTGGATGTTTAAGTTTATGGGGGCTTATGGGAGTGGGCATGGCTGACAGGGAAAGGGATTATAGTCTTGGATTTCTAGTTCATGGGTTATACTGGTTTACTTGAACACAACATCATAAATAAAAGGCCAGATTCGTATCAAAATTTGTGAAAAGATACATTAAATGGTCGTGTAATGGTGGACTAGCACTCAACAAAATAGAAAATGACACGACCCGAACAGGACATGATTTGACTCAATTGACACCCTACTTTTGATAACAATGTCAATCATCTACTTAACTCTGTTAGTTAGTCTATGATGGGGATTCAGGACCCACCATTGTAGACTTTCTTTTAAATTTTAGTTATCTTTTTTACATTGAGCTTTCGTGTTTTAAAGCTAAGCCATTGAATGAGTGGTCCAATGGCTGACCATAACTGCAAATTACATTGGTTTAGGGTTTTCATGGGGCCAAGGTGAGCCCAATAGCTTAAGATCAACTTGAAAAGTTGATGGCTCCAAAATAAGTGTGTAACTTGACTCTTTTTTCTCATGGGAGATCTCAGGCAAGCTTTTACTGAAGCTGATCTCGACCTTACTACAATGTGTTTGGTTTCTGCTATATTTACAAGGGTGCTCATTCGCTTATTTGAACCAAATTTGAATGATTCTGAGAAAATTTATTCTTTACAGATTACAGTATTGTTGTGCTTGTCTTGTTGATTTTATGAGTGTCTCAACTGAACCTCCAAATGATATGATGATGAACCATGCTCTGGTTGCTTGTTTGACTTGGTGTTACCTTGAATTTTTAGTGGCTTCAAACTATTCCATTGTTTTCTATGTTAGTAATTCATTCTTCTACAGACTGTCCTTCTAAGTGCAATTAATACAGCTTTTCATACAAATAGGTATTTGTATCTGAGTAAATTGGTCACAATGCCTGGAGCATCTGGTGCTTTCTTGCGCCTTGTACTTGATCAGGTGAATACTGTTTTATTTTACGATATCATTAATTGACTTGTTCAAACTGCCAGTAGGCAGATAGGTTCATTTCACTGAGCATATTGCCCTTGAATTTGACGTTGATTGATGCAGTTCCTTTTCGCTCCCATTTTTATTGGTGTTTTCTTATCTACATTGGTGACACTAGAGGGAAGGCCACTGGAAGTGATGCCGAAGCTTCGTCAGGTATTTTTTTAATGTTTCTTCAGTTATAGTTTTATTGCCATTTAACTGTTGAATCCTTGATGAATGCCTGAAAGACCAGGCTTTTGTTTTTTCAATTTGAAATTGTTCATGTTATTTTTGGACTCTTATTTTGCAGGAGTGGTTCTCTTCTGTTCTTGCGAATTGGCAACTATGGATCCCTTTTCAATTTCTCAACTTTCGCTTTGTCCCACAACAATTCCAGGTTTGAGTGGTGAATTTAACAAATCTCCAATATGCTTATGCCTAGGAGTTGAGTGGCAAGATATATTGTAAACCTTTGTCTCACTTCTTCGCCAGGCATTGATTACCATTTGCATTTAAACAAACTAAATTTGATAGAACTTGAAATTCTACTTTGTCTTTGATTTTTTTTTTTTTTATATATCCTACAAGTAACTAAATTTTATTTCGAAACATCTGAAATGTTTCCAGCTAAGAAGCATGAACACGGACACGCCGACACGACATTTCTCTTAAAAGTAGGACACGGACACGTTACAAAAAAATTATATTTTATATATAATATTATATAATTTATTGCAAATATAGTGATAATGATATACAATTCATAAAAAAATCAGTATTTTATGATAAGAAACCTAATGTCTAGTCATCTATGTGAATTTTTAGACTAAAACATTCTCATTATAGTCAATAATTATTAATTTTTTTTGTAGACAATGTGTACCTAATATATAATTTAAATAATTGCTCTCATTTTCTTAGTTCCTCTTTTTTAAAATTTTTATGTATCTTTTATTTTTATTATTATATTTGGAGTACAACTTTGATATGTATAGTATTAGTAATTGTATGTTTTCAAATTTTTAAGTTTTATTAATCACATTTCAACAAATGTCTATTGTTTAGTACTAGACACGTTCTAAAGAAGTGTCGGACACGTCACCAAAAAAGTATCCGACAGGTGTTCAAAATTAAAAATTTATAATTTAATTATGGACAAGAATAAAAGAGTATCGGACATGTGTCCGAGAGTGCCTAAAGAGTGTCGGTGTCCGACACGGATACGTCACGTTCTCGAGAGTATCCGTGCTTCATATGTTTTCAATTTCATGGAGATTGAAACGAATCGTTAATTGAATATCAAATTCCTATGTTTTTGAGGTGTTTCGGTAGGTGTCGACAGGTTTGGCATGTTTCGACCTATGTTTCAAAATAATGTTTTGAAAATAAATTTTTCTTTATTTCCATCTTGTTTCTGAAATATTTTCGAAACGTTTTCGTTTCCAAGCTCACCGAAACTGTGCACCCAAATGAAATTTTGTTCCTTGATCTCCGGTTAGATTTGGAGATTAACATATTGTCAGCAACTTTGAGAATCATGAGTTGATTTTTGATATAAGTTGATCAACTTTATTTCATTTGTGTTAGTTGTACTGAATGAAATCCAATGGGGGGGGGGAGAGAGAGAGAGAAGTTGTTTCTTATTGATCAGTATGAGGTATATATATATATATATATATATAAGTGTGAGTGCAGGGTACATAGTATATTACTCTATTATCCCTTACTCAATAATACTCTTCCTTAAGCTGGACTAAGGTGGTGTTTGGATGACCATGGGAGGATTGGATTGGATTGGAATCCAAACCCAATCCAATCCAATGCAAAGTGGCCCGGATTGGAGGATTATAAAGTTTGGATTCAAATCCTATCCCATGTTTGGATAGGTTTCAATTGGATTGTGGGCCCCATTGACATGTGAAGATAAAACATAGTAAAATGACCATTGTACCCTTGTGTACAAAGAATTCATATTTACAATTGCTACAAAATTGTAAATTAAGTTGGAACATTATTCAAATTCGCAAATTTTTTAATCCAAAATGGCATAAATTATTTGATCATAATATGGTATAATTATGCACACGTATGATACCATTGACCCAAATGTCAATTCATCCATGTTATGTTTTTGGATGTGTTTCATATACAAATGAAAAGTATTTTCTGCGAATTTTAATTTATGGTATTTTATTTTTACAATCTCAATTAATAGCTTAAATCCTCTCAAATTGACACCCCAAATTTATTTTTACCAAATCTGTGTATGACAGCCCAAATCATTTTTTATTAGTCCAAATCCACTCTTTAGTTAACAGCCCACAAAGATGTTAATTATAAAATTAGCAAACCCTCCTCTACGTTGAGAAGAGTTGGCGGTGGAGAAACACAGCCACTCAGTCGGCTGTGTGTTCAGACAGAGAAAGATCGACACAGAGAGAGACCGATAACATATGTGTCAGTCTTCGCTCCCAAACACCACTCATCCTTCAAGCAGATGGACCACTTCAATGGCCAGATCTGCTACTTCCATGGACAGATCTGGTCAACAGTGGGCAGATCTGAGTAGTGCAAGGTCGATACCAGATCTGCTACTTCCATCGAAGACACTCATGCCGATGTGAAGCAGCAAGCTCGAGCAAATGAATAAAGGAGGTAAAGAGAGAAAGAGATCGAGGAAAAACAACAAAAATTTTTTTTACTGTGGAGGGTATTTTAGATTTTAGCCATATAATCCTACTTCACAATTCAACAATCGCTCACAGCAGAAGGGATTGTTGAATCACCTGCAGATGGGATTCATTGCTTCAAAACATATGGCCGATGTTTTCAAAACCAACGAAAATCCTATCCCCAAAAACTTACCCAAACCAAGGATAAGTGGACCCTTCACTATTTTAATCCAATCCCAACTGCAATCCCCCCCCCAACCCTTTGATCCAAACACCACCTAAAGGTATTAAATGGTCCTTACTTCTTTTCTTTTCATTTCTTTTTTTTTAGAGAGGGAAACTTGAATCTTTGACCTTATGAAGGCAAAGCCTTCACAAGGCAAAAGTACTGTTGGACCAAAGGCCCATTGGTAAATAGTCCTTACTTGAAACAGAAAATACAGGCTTCATCTCTAGTGAATGGCATGGTGAAGGTATTTGCTGGTTAATCTGTCGACCGTACGAAACGTGTAGTAACCGCCTTAGATTGAAGCTTTTCACGGACAAAGTGGCAGTCAACCTTAATGTATTCTGTTTCTTCGTAGAAAATCGAATTTGAAGTAGAGAGACTTCTTCAAATGCTCTTGTAAGCCTGCCCTTCAATGCTCTTGTCACTCTACTCTAGACTAAAAAACTTTGTTTCCGGAGGGGGAGAAACGTAGTGGATCTTCTCTCTCGATTATACATGTGGAGCGCATGACACTACCTAGGGGGTTGAATTGGTTTTTCAAATTTTGCACAATTAATTACTAATTAAAACCTAATTTGACCTCAATTACCTTTTCTCACATAAATTTAACGAGTAGTGATAATCCCTTTAATCACTACAAATCTTTAAACCCATGACGATTGATGTTAATTAATGTTTAATTAATTAACACAAACACTCAATCTTACGAGGATTCCAAAATTCAAACTCAATTGCAACTATGGTTGATTTATGTGTTAAACATTTAAATCGTCAAACATATAACGCGCTTGTATTTTTATTTTTAGGAGGAGAAATATATTAAGAAAAGTCAACAATTACAAGAAGCAAAAAACAGTAACTGTAGAAACAAAAACAGTGACTGTTTGAACAAATTCAAACAGAAAACTGTACAAAAAACAGAAAATCTGTTGAAAGAATGAAAGCAGATCCTGTACAGTAACTGTAAAAAGGCCTTGCAGCACAGCCAGCTCCAAAACTCTCCAACAGATATAACTGTAGCACAGACCAGCTTCACATAGCATTAACTGTTGCCTGATGCAGAAGAGAGGAACCAACAAAAGTTGGCTTTAATCCTTCAATAGGAAAAAGCCCTGAAATCAGCACTTGGGCAGCCCTCCAAACCAAAACTGAACTGACCCTGCACAAACCCCATCAACAGAGTCACACACCCAGCACAGCCCTGCAGCACAGCAACCAGCACAGCAGCAGACAGCCAGACCAGCAGGAGACCACTGAAACAGAGAAAAGCAGCAACCAGACCAGCATAAGGCAGCAAACCACAGCAAACAGGCAACATTCCACCCAATGCCATTGAACCCAAACAAGAAGTCTGGACAATGAACAGAACCAGGCCAGGCAAACTGCAGAAGCAGACCAGAAAAATCCGACTGCCCCCAGCAGTATAGAGCTTCAATGTATACCTCAGGTGTCAAACCAATGCAACACAGCTATTGAGATAAGTGAAACACCTCATCAAACAAAATAGAAAAGTGCAGACATAATCCAGACGTTCTGTTCCCAACTGATCCCAGATATACACTGTTCACAATCCTGACAAACAACACTGCCTAGAACACCAGGCAGCAAGTGCACTTCCACAGAAAATGCCTCCTTATTCAACCCCATGCCTGTGCTCACATACACTCACCTTCTTCAATCTAGCAGTAGGCATCATGCCTTGATCCTGTTTCAGAAGTAATCTACCAGCAGTAGGCAGCACCCCATTAACAGAGAAGTCAGAGTATCTACCAGACTGCACTGCATAAGAAGCCAGAAAATCTGCCATCCTATTGCCCTCCCTATACACATGCCTAATCTGGAAATGCATTTTTCCAAGCATATCTGAAATTTGTTCCATATAAACTAATAATCTCCATGGAATTTCAGCTAAACCCAACACCATATTAACCAACACTTGAGAATCAGATTCCAAAACAAAGTGATAGTCATTCAAACCATAATGCATTATCATTTTCAAACCATCCAGCAGTGCCAGACATTCTGCTCTCATATTAGATCCAGTCCCATAGAATGCAGCAGCTGCTAACACTATATGCCCCTTAGAGTCCCTTAAGACCATCCCTCCACCAGATAACCCATTACCTTTAGATGCTCCATCAACATTTAATTTCATCATAGTCACAGCTGGAGGTTCCCATTTAATCCAAGTCACCTTAGTGATGATAGAAAAAAGTGGAGCAATTCTGAGATCCTGCAGCATGTCTTTACCATTCCTACCTTCCTCTTTCTTAGGCTTAATCATAAAGGTCTGCCATTTCAGTGCATTGACCATCTGTATGAAGACAGCATGACTATTCAAGTTCAAACCCTCAAATCTCCTCCTACACCTTTCTTTCCATAGAAGATGATCATAGAAACACCTCTGACTAAAGCATGGCTAAGAGAGAGGCCTTTGAAACACCTGCACATTCTCAAAAACCGCGGGGAACCAATCGGGGTTCACTAAGACCTAATCCATTAATCACAAAGTCGATCTACAAGTACTCGAGTCTTATATCTCAACCAATACCATAATTTAGATGCTCCTTTCTTTTGTAGATCTATCTGCCGAAAGTCCTTCTCCAACGCCTTGTGTAGCTTCACTTGAACTTTTTGCTGCCCGGTTTGTTTAAGCCTCGAGCAATCATGGCCATGATAACGATTCTCGGTATGTAAACATCAATGAGTTTGTCAAATTATCAAGATCTTCAACTCTAAGTTGTGAGGTTGGGTAGAATCTTTAGTCATAGCCTTGGGTCTTACGGACCTAGGGTTGTGGTAGAAGTTCTCTAGGTTAGATATGAGTTTTCTCACTCAAAAGGCTTACAAGAGGTTTGTAGAGGCTTACCCTAACTAAAGAAAAGACTCTCCCTACTTATAAATGCGTAATGAGTGTAATCTTGGTCAACAAGAAAATTCAAATTTGCAAACGATCGCACGATTAGTGGGATGACGGTTGGCATTGGAATGAAAACAAGGTTCCAATCCTGATTAGGAGAGCAAACTGCTCCAGCGAGGTCAAGAGAGTGCTCGAGCGAGCTCATGGAGCGAGCCTTGTTCTACCTCCGTTGTCTTTTTTCCTTTTTTTCCCTAAGTTATAAAGAGACTGTTCTAGCAAAGGCTAGCGAGTATAGGACAGTCCCTACTGATTTTTTAAGCCTAAAATTATGTAAAAAACTTGTCATCTTGAGCACTAAAAGGGTGTTGCTCAAGGGGAGTCTGCTATGGTTCAATCTATGTTTTTAAAATAGCAAATGGTTTAGAAAATCTTTTCTTTTAAAATAACCTCGGAGCTATACACAGAATAATCCATAATTCCATTTTAACTTTTACCCTCCTAAGTTAAATAAACGATGGATCGTATTAGGTATTTAGGTCATTATCTTTATCCTAAGTTTAAAGGTGGAACCAGAGTGTACATGATGTAGTTTTGACGCTTGATCTCCTCCCTGCAATGATGCTTTCAGATTTTCAACTTTGATACCATCATGACCATTGAATATGTTGAGATTTACAATGGACTCCATGAAATTAGCTAATTATAAATGTATATCTAACACAACTCTTGAAATAGAGAGATGCTTGAGGCTTCATGTTTGTTCTTAGTATGGGGTTAAAGTAGGTCGAGGAGAATCTCGAGCTCATCATACTGAGTGTCACGGGGTTAATTTTCTCACTAAATTTCTACCTCGTGATGGTACTAAGATCCCACACTTAGTCTCAGCCAGACACTTAGAATGTACACAAAATGCACATAGAATAGAGAAGAGACAGTAATCAGACACACAGACAAAGCACACAGAATTTACAGGCAATAACCAAACCTTTCTTTCTCAATAAAGTATAAGGAACTCAGTCTTGGGTTTATTTACAAAAACGTGTCAACTCTATTGTTGCACTACAGACCCTAGATACCCTATTTATAATGTTCAGGGTGGCAGTTACAAGCCCAATTGCCTAGGCACATGCCTATAATTCAAATGCTATCAGAGGTCTGCTGTGATTTGATGACAAGGAAGTTATAACTGGTATTTGTAGACTTCCTTGCATGCTTGTCTAAATTTGACAAAGATCCCACATGCTCTGCCCTTGCCAGAAAACTGCCCAGAACTGCCACCATTTGCAGGTCATATGCCCAACTTTCTCACTTGTTGTGCATGTGCTAGGAGCTCTCAACATCCGAATTGTATTGCCTTCGTGCCTAACCATGGCCCGGCCCATGGCTCATTATTCAAGCTAGCATCGCCCTACAATTCAAGCCACCCGCTTTCTTGCTTGCATGTTGACTTGTGCTCACGTGCCCATGTGCATAGATTGTCTCTCTCAGTCATGCATGAGACTTCTGCCATTTTGGCTAAGGCATGGGCGCCTTTGGGCGAGGCTACCCGATGCCAAATACTGCTAATGGCTAAGGGGGTAACAAACCACCCCCACCAGAAGAGCTCGACGTCCTCGTCGAGAGGTTGTTCCAATACTTCTTGATCGGTTTCTCAAACTGCCAAAGAGTCACATCTCGTTCCCAACTTGCGTCTACCTCGGAACACCCTTTGCAATGCACCAGAAAATTAGTCTTGCGATTTTTCTTACTCTGACCCATGGTCCGGTGAGACAGAATCTTGTCGACCTCTTTGTCAAACTGTTTCCTGATGATAGGCGGATCCCTCCTAGCTTGCTTCCTTCCAGCATTCAGCAAGTCTTCCTGAAAAGGCTTCAGAAAACTCACATGAAAAGTTGGGTGAATTTTCAATCGATCAGGCAGCTTCAAGCGATAGGCAACATTCCTGACCTTCTTCATCACCTCGAAGGGGCCATCGTATTTAGGAACCAGCTCATTGTGTACTACCTTGCTGTTGATCCTTTTCCACAATGCAAGAGTCAATTTCAGCAAAACTAGATCACCAACTTGAAATTTCAGTGGTCTGCGACCTTGCTCAACATACTTGTGACACCCCAAAGTTCGGGTGTCTGTAATTATCCGATTGATTATCCATCGACCTGTGTAATACTGATGGATATCGTGTAATTTGATACCACACCGTTATGCCCCATTTCTCAGGATTCATAACTTAACAAAATTTGGACAAAGTCTCCTTTGTACGAGGAGCTCTACTCAAAACGCAACCTGTACAATATTGACCACACCGGGTTTATCTATCCATTCACAATTGTATAGTCTCGAATACTACCATAATCATTATTAGTACATACATTTATTCGTAAAAGAATAAATGTTCCAAAAGAGTCCCATATACATGCCTTTGTAAATATAAACAAATGTTTGTTACAAAAATTATACAAGGCCAAAAGTAAGTATAAACAAGGGACTACAATGTCAAAATAAAAGCCACAGACTGGCTCTGTCGTCAAAGCGGGCCCATGGCCTCGCCTTCGGTGGACGCCTGTGCGATACCTGAAAAATGTTCCCATAAAGGGTGAGCCAACGCTCAATAGGGTAACTCCTATAGAGAATACCTCTCAACCTAAATGCATATGGAATGTCACATGCAACAATCATTTGATACATTCATTTAAATATGTCTATTATGATTGAATGTTATAGATCATGTCATGCCATGAGATGAGACTCATGCAAGCAATACCAACCCCGAGCCCCATCCTGAGCTCCCATAACACATGCAATGTCATGCGTATGTATCCGAGCATTCCAAGCCCCCTTCATTGATGTTATGTACACTCAATGACTAATTAATTCATTTTCTTATGTCTTTGTGGGGAGGTGATTTATGGTATTACACCAATGGGACACCAACTATCAACGGATCTTCAGGACATCCCACCTGCGGCTCCGTTTCCGCCGTTACACTTTTCTGGAATTTCACCGCCGGAAAGTGTATAAACCAAATAAGCGGGTCTTGCACCCGAGGGAGAATCTAGCCCTTCGTGTTGGCCCCAACACATTTATTCATTTAATTTCTCGTGCGACTCAACCGAACCTTGGTGCGACTTTTCCGAGTCCACGTTCAACCACCTACATGGTGATTGATTTCATACCATGCATACACTCTCACCCATGTCAATGCCCATGAATGTAGTGCAACCCATGCATAATGAAATACAATGTAATGACATTTTAACACGATCTCAAGCATGTTATATAAGATAATCAACTCAACTAACATACTTGTATTCACCTAGGCATTTAATCAAACACCTAAAGAGCACATCAATTTACACAACTAGTATGCTATGACTTGCAACATGATAACATGTTTAACATAAGCACAAAGTCCACCAAAATAATCATATGTTAAATAATCATTTAACATATATATATATTATTTCACAATCATATAACAAGTTAATAATTTTATTAAACTTGATCTGCCATTAAAATATAAAGTAATGCTAACATACAATTAACATGCTTTAAACTACTAACATTAACTTATACCAAGTTAATCACAATAGAATTTTATTAATTACAAGATTAATTATAAATTCTATATTTGACCCACTAGTCACACTAGTCAAGACCTAACATGTGATATACACTCATAATCTACTCATTCCATATGTCATATTTTAAGTTGAAATTAAATCTAAATAGGGGAAACCTTACCTCTCGTAGCGTGAGACCACTTACTAGAACGTCAAGGAAGCCCAAATTTAGCTTCCTAAGTTTTAGGCCTAGATTATCGGTTTTGATATTCCTTCGAAGAAAAATACGATATTTGGTGTGGTTGCGTAGCTCTCGCTGAGTAGAGCAACTTTAGTTCTTGGTCCGAAGCGATTAAACGGTTAAATTTTCCTAGATCTGAGAAGGAAGAAAATAGAAAAAAAAAAAAAATTCTTTTTTTTTTCTCACTCTCTCTATCTCGCCGGCTGTAGAACACATAAAAAGTGGAAGTCTTCCACTTATAAATATCTTATTATTATTATTTTTTTTTGAAATTTACGTTTTTGACCCATAATTTAACAATTAATTATTATTTTACCCACTTTTTTTTTTTAGGATTTTAATAATAATAATAAAAAAAAAAAAATTCGGGTTTTACAATACTGCTTTATTCGTCGGGCAGCTTTGGCCAAGCTGTCCTTTGCCTTGTCAAGCAACTCCTGCTTGAAACGAGCAAACCGATATGCAGCAGGATATTTTCCTCCGATCCTCTGCTTTACTATTTCATGGGGAGTAAGTGGCTGATGTCCCATAGCTAACTCACAAGGACTCATTTCTGTTGTTGAAGATCTATACAAGTTGTAATAAAACTGGCCAGTGTCCATAAGCTCCACCCAATTTTTCTAACTCGCAGTGACATAGTGTCGCAGGTAGTC